CCGCACGCCCGGGGAGGAGGGCCCCTGGGTTGTGCTCCACCGTGGTCTGCTTTGTCTCGGGTTATAAGCTTCATGCCTGACGTTGGGGCACACGCATTGGCCCCGAGAGGAAGCCGTTTGCCCCACAGTGGCCACACCTTTTTATCACGTTGGATCCGACCTCAGCGCGGTGGGACGTTGGGGTTGAGGTTATCCATCCTGTGGGGGGGCCCTCCCTTCAGCTCTGCAGATCCGGGAGCAGGATCGGGGACAGCAGAGCACTTCCCCCCACCCCCACCCCGACCCCCGTTTTATGGGCTGGACAGAGATTCCCGGGCAAGGCAGGGGTGGGGGCTCGGGGGATGCTCCGGGCTCCGGGGTGATTCCCTGACAGCCCAGGGGCTGTTTCTTCTAGAAGGGCCTGGACAGGAGCTCAAGTAGTCCGAGATGACGAGCACACCTTGGTTTCTCGAGGTTCCTTTGTTAGCAGAAGCCGAGGGGGCTCCCATCCCCTTGTTAATAAGCCAGAAGGCCAGTTTCTTGATTTGTCACGTGAGAGCTGTCCACCAGGGGACTGGGCTCTTAGGGCCTCGGCAGAAGAAGGTAACAGCTGAGGGCCCACCGTCGGGCCTCTGATTTGGCCTGAATTTGCACCTCCTGGTAGGTGTGGCTGCGGGAAGTGACTCGTTCTTTCTCTGCACGGTTCCTGCATCCGTACAGTGGGATACATTGGGAGCCGTCTCAAAGGACCGTTGGGAGGGATTAGATGTGACAACAGGAGAGAAATACTTGCCATCGCCTCTGGCACAGAATAAGGATTCAAATAACGTGTCTCCTGATGAACAAAGCCACCGGAAGGGGGGATGCTCGGTCACGTTCTGTCACGGCCGATCCCCCGGGCCTGGGACACAGGCAGGCGGGATTCCGTTCTCCCCCCTCGTTTGCACAGACGCACTGTGAGGGGCAAACTCAAAACCTCTAAAAGCAGTAGAACTGGGACCCGGGGCTGCAGTTATCGGGCAGATGCCGGCCCGAGGCTCTGGGCCTGACGACGTGTGCTGAGCTCTCGCGGGAAGGCAGGCGGGGGAAGGG